ATACTGTAAAGCGAATTGACTGTATATTTTGTGGGCGGCCAATTGCGCACAGCAGCAGCACGGCGATGGGTTTCAGCGTGTGTCACCGGCCCACCAACAAAAAAAGTACTGAAGGACATTTTGGCTTTCACTGTCCGTCTCTTCCCACAGCTCAAAGCTTAGACTTTTGCTTTATGAATGCCTTTAAAATCGAGGGACTCCTCAAACAAATTACATCAGAATAAGCTGTGTGGTAAAGAAAATAATCAGTGTTTTGTTTCTGATTTAGTGCTGAAACGTTAATGGAATCCTTGAAAGAGCGGAACGATTTTTAATTGTTTTGCTTCTCCTCCACAGTGGTGGATTTGATGATTTAACTTTAAAGTTAATTTATTTTGGCGGGGACTTGGATTTGGTTGCAAATGTTTTTTTGGAACCTGTGGTTCATTTTCCTACACCCACCCCGAATGCATTTGCATCTTAGTTTGTCTGTAAAATCACCAAACGTGCTTCGGGTTGAAGATTCCAGAATTTTTTTTAAAACTGGCTGCGATGACTGCTTTATTTTATTAATAATAATAATAATACTTGCATTTGATACAGTGCCTTATCATTATCTTCGCGACGTCTCAAAGCGCTTCGCAGAATATCCTGTAAAGTGGATTGACATATATTTTGTGGATGAAAGTAAAAGGGACCTTGGACTTTCATTTTAATAAAAATGTGTGTTGGAGGAATCGAACCCAGGTCCTTTCGCTTACGAGGCGAGTACTCTAACCACTAAGCCTCTAAGCTAATCTGCACACAGCGATTTCTCGCGAACAACCGTGAAGTGAATGACCACTTTTGTCTCAGGGATTGTTGGCGAGGACACTGGGAGAAACTCACTTTTCTTTTTAAGTAGTAGCATGGGACCTTTAGCTTTTACTGGAACTCTGGCTTAATACCTCACAACCAGTTTGTGGGTTCAAGCCCTTGGTTTGATTCCCTCACCCCAATCCAATCCACGTCTGCTTGTGGGACACTGCTGTTTGCAATTAATTGGCTGCCGCGTTTCGCCCACAAAATATCCAGTCAATCCAATTTACAGTGTATCCTGGGAAGCGCTTTGAGACGTCTCGACAATATGATAAGGCGCTGTATCGAATGCAAGGATTATTATTATTATAATAACCTTCTGCCTTAACATATAAGCAACTCCCAACCAAGCTAGGCTGACGCACATTTCTGCCCACAATGTATTATTCTTCACACGGCACTCTTGATATTGATTCCAGATGACGATCAGCGATGAGCATTAATACTTATGCTCTTAAGTCTGTCTGCTGCTTTTCAGCCAAGAATTGTTCCATATTAAACAGCCCGGGGTTCTGAAAGAGGCAATTTAATTTTTAACGAGCGTCTCAAACAGACTGACGTCAATCATGAGCTACGATTTGTGTTTCTGGGTAGGGTCTGTTACTGACCCAGTATCAGGAGTGTGTTTTATATACATGTGGGCATTACGGCTAGCCTGATGATAACCTGATGAATTATTCAACCTGGTTGAATAACTGGTTGAATAGGAAAACACCTATTTTCCTACAGGTTCCTACAGGAAAAGCAGTAGCATCAATCTTGCGCACCGCACACCAGGTACAAATGGAGATGAACTTGTTCAATGACGGACTAATCTTCCATCTTTTTTGGGCATTTATTTTTGCTCATTTAGACAGCGTTCTAACCTAACTGCTGAAGCAGTTGCAAAGCTCTTAGACGCTACCACTTTTTGAACCATTTTAAATGTGTGCCACCTCCGTGATAGCAGTTGATACCACGGAACCCGTTGTGTACCTGAAGTGCCGTTCGCTTCTGACGTAGAGGAGATTTTGGTGCGGAAAATTGTTTTGGGAAAGAGGGGTGGGGGGGGGGGGGGAGGAGGGAGGAAAGTGGGATTGTATTGAGAAGGCAAAGAGATGAGAAAAGTGCTATAGCCTGACTTAATCAGATCAAAGATGTCCTCGCCAGCACAGGTGAGTAGGGTGGGGAAGAGAGAAGATGAAGTTCATGCCGCTATAAAGAAATCTGGTGAATTTTGGGCGTGGCAGGTTTCCACAAGAGCTCTTCATCTTGGCCTGCTCTGCAAACGAATAGAGTCTTTTGGAAACCTAGTCTGCACATCTCTGCTCGGAGCCAGGGGACATAGTATCTGTTTGATTTATGGTCCATCAGGTCTTGGGGCATCCCCAGCTGGCCATCCATCATAATCAGACAACTTGTTTAGCACTAATGCTAACCAGGGAAATGAAACACTTTCAACTATCTGGAGCTTTCAACTTCGGTCACTCAACCCACGCCGGTTTGTGGGGACGCTGCTGTGCGCAATCGGCTGCCGCGTTTCGCCCACAAACTATACAGTCAATTCACTTTACAGTATATTCTGTGAAGCGCTTTGAGACATCTCGAAGATCTGATGAGGCGCTGTATCAAATGCCAGGATTATTATTATTATTATAGTATAAAATGACATTTAGAGAGATTGTTAGCATATGTACGTAATTTGCGTGTTCACTTCTTGTTTGTGGTATGGCTATGTCCGTTTAGTTTGTCATTTCTTGCGAGACAAGGAAAATTGGTGAAATTAGAGGATTAAAGTACCCCCTGGCTCCTGAGTCTTCCACTTGCACTACATACACTATTTAATAATAATAATAATAATCCTTGAATATACTGTAATTGACTGCAGATTTTTTGGGGAAAAGCTATTTGCACAGGGAGTGGAGCCAATAAGGCTGTGACTGGCTAGTTTGACTTGAGCTCAGCATAAAAGCAGTCACTTTGATTTTATCGATTCGCTGCTTAACATTCGGTATCGTACTTGTTCTGTTGGTAAAACTGTTGACCTTGATTTCAGGGGTGTGGGCGACGTAAATTACAATTCAATTCGGAACCTTTCTCCGTCCAGGAACTGGGGTGGTAACCCTTATCAAAGGTCAACTTAGACACTTCTACCCTAAACCTCGGCTCCTTTTGAAAAGGAGACCGTGTAACCAGGATCTTTAATTACAAAGTCATCTTGGTTTTAATCAGTTCTCGGTTTTAATAATTAAATGATTTGTCAGAAAAGAAGGGCAGAGAAAGTTGGTCTGTACCAATCTTTGCGGAAGTTTGATCCCTGGGGAACAGGGGTCAGCCCAGACTTGTCCTTGGGGGTTGGGTGTGTTGCAATATTTGACCGAAAATTTTTGGGACTTAGTATAGAGTAAGTAACAGTGAGAAAAGGGTCATTTCTCAGTCATCGTTACCAGATCTACAGTGTGAATAGATGGAGAATAAATAGACTGAGTCAAAGGCAGGGGTGTTGGACTGTAACGGAGTAAATTTCAGAGCATGAAGAGGAAAGGATCACTGTAATTAAAAAGCAAAATAATCGGAGATTAGCGGCAGTTGAAGTACGAGGGAGTGGCTGGATAGACTAAAACCCTTGTGCGCCAGAGTAAAGTGGTTATCAAAGTTTGGTTACAATATACCAGCACAAGTTAGCCATAATGAGCAAATATCAAAGAAGGAAAAAGCTATGTGAAAATATATTGTTTCTGACTATTAGTTTTTTTAGTGTGTGTGTGTGGGGGGTGGGGGGGGGAGACATCCTCTCAGTGTGAAAGGCGCTCTTATCAAATGCAAGGATTATTTTGATCGTGTGAAACCATACAATAATTAGCGCATTTGATGAAAGTTCCATTGGGGGCAGGAAGCCAGAACTAGATTCAAGCCAGTGAGCATTAGGAGGGTGGGTGGAGGTTTCTGTGTTATCACCACTGATTAAAGCATTACAAAGGTCTGTCTGAATGAAGCACTGGATATTTGTCATTTTCTTCTCAAAACTGTCAACACTTTTGCTGCCAGATTGATAGTACCAAAGATCAAACACATTGCATTTTCTTGCTCTTACCTTCCTCACCCAGGCACATCTTCTCGTCTGAAGACATTTGATCCGGTTTTCTCTTTTACATGAAGTGTAGTTCCAGCGATGCTGCCAAATACTCTTGCGAATCTGAACCACAATCGTCAGAATTATATTCAACCCTTGGGATATTAGAGGGAGCCCAAAGCTGATCTCACATGTCCATTAGGACCACAGACTGAATTTTATTTCCTCCCTATTTTTTGAGTCAGACATTTTGTAAACCTAGTACTGGCCTGGCTGAGTTCGACTATAATAATAATAATACATGCATTTTGATATAGCGTCTTATCACGTCTTCGAGACGTCTCAATATGCTTCACAGAATATACTGTGAAGTGAATTGACCGTATATTTTGTGGGCGAAACGTGGCTGCACACTTGTAGATTGAGTGACTAAATTATTACTCCCGGAAAAGTGATCCGTCAATCGACTAACAATTACCTAGTACTGCTAGGTAAACAGAGGCGCGCGTGTCTGTGTGAGTGTGTGTGTGTGGAGTAAGGAAACTTGCCGAAGGTTTCGTCTTAACTCAGCACAAACCAAAAGGCTGAATGGCTTGTTCTTGTTCCTTGTCATTCTACGTCTGTCTGTACTCTTGTGATTTCATTCTTATTTAGTGGCTTGCTGGAGTGTGCTTGCTGACAGCATCATTCAGTGTCACGTTTGTGCCAGCAGTCGTTGCTTCTAGCAGCAGCCTGTCAGTTAGCCCTGATGTGAAAAGACACGTTACTGTCTCAGTGTGTAACAGCTACAGCGCAGCATGTCACACACTGTCTATTCACCAGGAACTCTCTTTACTGATCCTGAAAGTCCCTTTGTGAAAATCCTGCAAAACCTCTGGTGTAATGTAGATTCTCCTCTTCTCATACGTGGGACCAAAAAGAAGGCTATTTGACAATTGAAAGAGAGAGAAATCATGGTTGTTGGTTTTCAACCACTTGAGATACGTGCCAGTGTTGTTATAGAAAATACACAGTCAATTCACTTTACAGTATATTCTGTGAAGCGCTTTTGAGACGTCTTGAAGATGTGATAAAGCGCTGTATCAAATGTAACTTGTAACTCTTCTCTCAGTTTGTGCAGCTCCAACTCTGACATCTGCCAAGATCTCTCAGGTTCTCAGGAGTCCATTCAATCACCGCACAAGTGAGTACCACAGAACACACCGTGAGGCACTTTGAAACTTCTCGAAGGCGTAATAAGGTGCGATCAGGAGTCCTGTGAGAATCAGGAGAAAGTGTATAGTGTACATTCGCTGCAACAACAACAAGATTCCATTTATTGAGCGCCTTTCACGTCGGGAGGACGTCCCAAGGCGCTGTACAGTTGGGTCAGGACCCGAGCATTGGGGGGAAATGGTCAGGGTGAGGGGAGGGAGGGAGCGAGGAGGGGGTAGAGAGTCGAGAGGGGAGCTGAAGGCACGGTCAAAGAGAAAGGTGTTGAGACCGGCCTTGAAGGAGGAAAGGGAGGAAGCGGCGAAGGCACTGGGGGATGGAGTTCCAGAGCCTCGGGGCTGAGAGGCTGAAGGCCCGACCACCGATAGTAGGGCGGTTGGGGTGGGGGATGTGGAGCAGACCGGAGCCAGAGGAATGGAGGGTACGGGCGGGTAGGTAGGGGGATAGTAGGTCGGAGAGGTAGGAGGGAGCGAGGCCGTGAATGGCCTTGTAGGTGAGGGTGAGGATCTTGAATTCGAGGGTGCAGGGTTTAGGATGAACTTCTACAAAACAATTAACAGTCGATTCACTTTACAGTCTATTCTGTGAAGCGCTTTGAAATGTCTAGAAGACGTGAAAATCTCTATTATCAAATGTAAGGATTATTATATTATTATTATTATTATAGCAAACCTAGTCCTGGTGGTTTGGTACAGTTCTTATTTCAAATATTTTTTGTTCACACCAAACCTTATTGCGATTAGTTTTGTGTTATGAACTGGAGCCAATTGGGGATACAGCAAATTAAAAAGCCAGATCAATAACATATTTCCTCTTTCTCTCCCACATAGTGGATTTTGGGAATACCAGAACCAGCAGCTACCTGTGTTAATTAACTCCTTTAGTCCTACAGGCTTTACTTTTAATCATTCTTGTCTAAAACGTAATGGAAACCTTGCTCACTGGGGCGAAACCTTAGGCAAGTTTCCTTACTCCACACGCCTCTGTAAGTAGGAACCCGGTTGTCGAGTGGATTGGCGGATCGCTTGTCTGGGAATTGAATCCAGGTTCTCTCACTTGCCAGGCAAGTGTTGTAGCCACTAAGCTCCAGGTCCGTGCCTTAAGTCACCTCTCCTCCCCACACCCCCTGGGTTAGGCTCCTGGTCAACCCATGTGAAGGAGACGCTCTCTTGACGTGAAAAGGCTTGACATAAAGGTCCATTGTCGTCCTGCACAATGGACCTTTCTCCTTCATTTAGGCTTTATCCAAAAAAAAATCAATGAAACAGTTGACCCAAGACTCAACGCTGAAGGTTATAAGTAACATTTGGGTAAGAATAAGGAACAATGTCAAAATGATTCAGTTCCACTCAGCTGAACTTTTTCATCATGTTGAGCTTTACACGCTCGATCCAGTGTGTAAATCACCAGTTTCACGTCACCCACATTGTACCTGAACCGAACAGCAGGTACTTAATGACTGTTTGGGGAGCTCTCCATTGAGCTCACACCCACCCCGCCAACCCCCCCCCCCCCCCCGCAAAAGATATTTCAGACTATTAATTGACTAATTTTATTTTGAAAGCCTGACAGACTCTTTCAGAGTCTAATGATGATGTGAAACCATTCCCACTGTTGGTTTTGGAAAGTTAATTTACTTTGCGATAAGCACCGAGCGCCTTGAAGATAAAACCGCAACTCGTAATTAACAGCGGCCTCTTTTGTAACGTGTTTGCAGGAAGAAACATGAGCGATGGAGTGGTTGGGGGTGGGGGGGGGGGGGGGGAGAGAGGAGGAGAAGCACAGATTATTTATTCGCAGCTGGCTGCTTCCAAACAATTTTTTAAAATTTATTTTCGGTTGCCTTAGAAACGAGACAGAGCAGAACGAGCAGGAAACGCGAGCTACCAATCTTGTTGTTTCCAATGATGCAGTTTCTTAATCATGTAGGTGTCCCTCGTGATTTGGGTTTAGGAAGTTGTGGGGCAGGCTGGCCACAACAACAACAACAACAACAACAATAATAATAACAATCCTTGCATTTGATATAGAGCCTTATCACGTCTTTGAGACGTCTCAAAGCGCTTCACAGGATACACTGTAAAGTGAAGTGACTGTATATTTTGTGGGAGAAACGCGGCAGCCAATTGCGTACAGCAGCGTCCCCACAAACGGCCGTGGATTGAAGTGGCCAATTTATTAATTTTTTTTCTGAAGGAATTCTCTCCTGCGGAAAAGTGATCCTCCAATCGACTAACAACCGGGTTCCTACTCACTGTTGGTACACAGAGGCGTGTGTGTGGAGTAAGGAAACTTGCCCAACATTTTGCCCTGTCCTGCCCGGGAATCAAACCCAGGTCCTCTCGCTTGCGATAGTCCATTTTCTGTGCTTGGTTTCCTCGGCTCTTGAACGTACTATTTTGAACGTTATTTGCTATGGACCCGCACAGATTTCTGGAAGGACGTGATAGAAGAGGGAAGAGATTTGAATGTTTGCACTCGGTGATTACGTTGAACGGTTCGTTGCTTCAGCACTGAATTAATGCACAGGCGCAGTTTTGGGGGAATAATCTGTGCGCACGACACACAGGGGGGGTGCATTGCAGAGGCTCTCATCCTTGTGTTTTCCAAACATTTGGAATGCTTCACTAAATCTCCATTTTTGTGTCAAGTACACTGAGCTGGCTCAGTCTCACCTTAACCGCTCTGCAAGTTGTTGTCGGAGGGTTTTGGGTTCATGCCCCACTTTGGGACTTGAACTTACATAGTCTAGGCTGACATTCCAATGCAGTCCCGGGGGGGTGGGGGTGGTGGGGGGAGGAGGTTGTTGCATTGTCGGAGGTGCCGGCCTTCAGATGAGATGTCAATCCGAGGTCCCATCTGCCTGTTCAGGTGGACGTTGAAAAGAGAAGAGATTCTCCTGCGAACCTGGTCAACATCCCCCCAAATAAAATCGGTCACTCGCTTCATGGCTGTTTGTGGGACACTGCTGTGTGCAAATTGGCTGCTGTGTTCACCCATAACTACAGCCACTACGCTTCACATTAAATCCTGGTGAAACGATTTGGGACGTCCTCCCGACGGGAAAGGCTCTACAGCAAAAGCGAGGATTCTCATTATTGTTTGGAGTACCTCATAAACAAAGTCTTGTCTTATGACTGAATTGTTGTAGAATTGTTGATATTTTGCTGGCGAACGATCACTTCAGTCAACACAGAGAGACGACGTATCCAAACAGCAGATTTCCCCATTAAACCCGAAAATGGAGATTCCCACATTTCAAATGTTTCTCACAGTTTCTCTCGCTCCAAACCTGATACCAGTGGCTATGAAAAACCGCTTTTAACGATCTGCGAGTGACGAGCTTTCAACGGAAAAGAGAGTCAGCCGTGAAAGAGTCTTTTTTTCCCTCTGGTTCTCTTTGTGCCCCAACCTTATAACCATAAAACCCAAGGCTTCGGGGAGTTGCGTGAACCGCTTTTTGTTGAGGAGTTCCATCTCCTAACACCTCGTAAAGTGTGATTAAGCCTCACCATTTGAAGCTCTCTGCCTATGGCTCTGAAAACACATTACTTGCTGAAATAGTATAGCAAATATGGCAATGGTTCAAATCTCAATCGGGCGTGTTACCTATAAAATGACACTGGTAGCCTTTATAACATAATTTCTTGAAAAGAGCAGCATTTAGGATCGAGGAGAGGGGAGCCATGGCTTCTGCAGTGGGCGTTGGATCAAATGCAAGGATTATTATTGATAGTGTTATGAATTCTGACACTTAGCATTTGTGAATTTCTTGCCACTCGGTGTGAGCTTAACGACAACTACATCGGAGTTTGTGTGCGTGTGTTGTGATAAAGTGTTCAACCGCATCACTAAAGTGCACTCGTCTGCAAAGGCAGTCATTTTAAAACGGATCGATAAAGTGTTGTCTCTCATTCAAATTATTTTCTTTTTGTGAAACTAAACGACTGGCTTCCTTAGCAGTAAAATGGTGAATTATTGCTGTAAAAAAACTGACGTCCAAAATGGTCCTGTAAAGACAGAGTGGGTCATTGGGGCAGGTTTTTGTGTTTGCGGGGACGCTGCTGTGCGTTTTGCCCACAAAATATACAATGAATTCACTTTACAGCGCATTCCGTAAAGCGCTTTGAGATGTCCAGAAGATGTAATAAGGCGCTGTGTCAAACGCAAAGATTATTATTATTATTAACTTACAGTTACTTTTGATGACTTTGACTGCAATCCTGCATTACGGACCCAATTCAGGAACTATATTAAAACATTAGCTGAGTACTGTTGTGGGCCAAGTTCAAACATACTTAACAAGACCCATTAACAATAATTAGGTTTAACCATAATATTAAATACACTTGGTCTAAAAACAAATGTTCACCGTGTCCTAGAATTACATTAGTCAACGCAAATCAAAAAATACTGAGGGTTGTTTCAAAGAAAACACATTTTTAATCCAATTTTCTTTGAGTGTGGAGTTAAATATCTACTCCCACATTTTAATGGCAGCACAAAAACTGCCCTTAATGTATGACCAGATATTTATTGGCCAGGCAGACTCGTAAAACTCAGAGGGAGGTTTTATATTCAAAATAATGAAATCCTTTGAATAAAATGAATTCTCAAATCAACTCATCAAAAACAGATCGTAGAGGTCTCGATCACCTTCAATATTAATAATAATAATGTTTCTCCCTTTTATACCTCAGTTCTCTTGATGCGAAGAATCACATTTAACCTTAATATTTGCTTTAAGATCACAAGATTGGATTGGATGAATAGTACTCAGCTGAGACCGTTTGACACAGCGCCTTATTACATCTTCTGGACATCTCCTTCTTCCAGAATAGCCGTTCAACACAGCATCAAGCTGCTGCGTCAGATAGTTAATTGAAATAATAATTTTCTTGAAGGGCTTATTCGCCCCAGAAAAGCGATCGATGAATGAACTGAATAAAAAAAATGATTATTTGTTTCCTGCTGTCGCTTTCTTTCCAGGGAGCCGTCGGTCTTGAATACGCGAAAGAGACAAAGGCAGAAATCGCTGAAGACAGTTGATTCTCAGAGAAAGCGAGCAAAAAATTGAGTCCAGGAGGTCAGGAACTGAGGAGAAGAAAAGACTGAGGAGAAGAACAGGACTTGTGGCAGCAGATCGACAGTGTATTTTTCACCAGTCGGTCCTTTGTAAGAACGTGCGCAAGCAAAACCGTCGTTTAACGGAAACAGCCCAAGGCCATTGTTATTTTTAAATGTTTTTTAAAATTGCGCAAAGCGCTTACAATTTACTTCCTGAAGTGTTGTTGTGTTGCACTGAAGATATATATATATATATATATCTGTTGCATTTTGCTTGCTTCGGTTTGAGGTAAATTCTTTTGCAATTGAACTGTTAACGTTCTCAATGCAGTTGAGCTTGGACTACAGTATGTTATGCCATTTTGGTCTTCAGAAAAACAAATAAATGTTGTTTTGTTGGGAACCCGTGAATGAGAGTCGTGTGCCTCAACTGTGTGTGAGTGGTTTTCCCTCCATCAATGTCCTGTTAACCCAGGAAGCCAAAGCCCTAACGGATAGGATGGTCCTTGCTGGACAAACAGCAGGAAAGCTTGCCAGACAGTGCTCTCGATGGCAAGCTGTGCGGTTTTAGCTGGTTAGACGCCCAACAGTTGCCCCAATGCACGTACTGGCCTCCCCACAAGCCTTGGCTCTCGCCAACCTGTGCTTAATTCTTTCCAGAATTATGTAAACAGGATGTATCCCTCCAGAGAGAGAGAGAGAGAGAGAACGCAATCCATTCCAACCAATCTATCTCTGGGATTTCCATGTGTAGGTGGGACGCCTGGAATTTTCAGCTTGGCCTGGATATGCTTAAGCAGCGGTGATGGGTTTCCGCGTGTATCAGACACCTTGAAAAAATGCACTTACTATCTGTCCCAGCAGTGTAGTTTGATGTGGAATTCTTGGAATCCACACTGAATTTTGAGAGCAAAATAATCTGGAATGTTTCATGTTAGATTCTCATTCCTGACCTCTCTCTCTCTCTCTCTCTCTCTCTCACTGGGTCATGAACTCTATCTGGAAAGTTTTCTGCATGTTTGGAAGGTCGGGTGAAGACACAATGCAATGGAGTCCTGTAGCTCAGTGGTTAGAGAGCTCGCCTCGCGAGTGAGCGGACCTGGGTTCGATTCCCGGGTGGGACGAAATGTTGGGCAAGTTTCCTTACTCCACACACACGGTCGTGGTCATTCCACGACCGTTTGTGGGACGCTGCTGTGCGCAATCGGCTGCCGCAATTCGCCCGCAAAATATACAGTCAATTCACCTTCCGGTATATCCTGTAAAGCACTTCTGGAGGTTGACGAGATGCTGTATCAAATGCAAGGATTATTATTATTATTAGCTGTGATGCCTCTCTAGGGGTGAGTAGTCTGCCAACACAGATTCACACGTTAAGAGATGAAGAATGACCACTTGGGAGAGGCGATGGAGACAGCTGTTGGTATCTGCAGAACAGTCGGAAGATTGTCTTCAGCAGAGCAGGAAGGGAACAAGCGGTGAAAATTTGCCAAATAACCTGTGTGTACGATGAAAGGAAGTTCTGCTTCCAGGTTGAAGCGTTGACGAACTGTAAGCTGTGGTGTTCGTTGCCTTAGAGCATAACCACACCACGTTCTTATACAAACTGCAACCATCTAATCCGGGACGGTATTTTTTGTCTGCCCATATATCAGCAAGTTAACATGAGCGATAGATCACCTGGTTAATGAAGGTCAAGAAAGCCTATGGCACTGCTTCTTGCAGGAGCAGCTGTGAAGCTTTGCTTCTTGGGATTGGTCCAAGACCTTGTGTTAAATATGGGGTTTAACATCAAGTGATGAGGAACAGAGTCCCAATAGTCTGGACTTTCTCTTGTTCTCTCTTTCTCTCCCCCTCTCTCTCTCTCTCTCCCCCACCTCTATGTCCTCCTCTCTTCTCTCCCCCTCTCTTGCTCTTGAGTGTGTGATGATGGTTCCTTTAGCTTAGACAGCGAGTGTCTGCAGACTATTTGACCACAGGGAGCATTGGAACAAAATAATAATAATTTGGTCACTCAATCCACGACTGGCTGCCGCGTTTCGCCAGCAAAATGCACAGTCCCTACACTTCACATCCTGTATCAAATGCGAGGATTATTATTATATTTGGGGATTCACTAAAGGAGACAATTTTACAGCTGAGTCTTTAGAGCTATCTGTCTTTTGATCTGTCAGTTTCCTAAGTTTTTTCTGTCAGTTTGTTATTGGTAGCTCCTTACAGTTTAATGTGATCTCAGGCAGCCCAATAACTAACGGATGACTTGTACTGTTTCAGTTGATTAAAACAATCTGTTTTTATCTAAGAGGATTTATTGTGGAATGTAAGGGCTGCTGACTTCATGTAAGTAGTTAGTGCACTTTTCCCACCATATTTCACTTTGCCTTTTGGTTGGGGTGTCAGAACCGGGATGAACGTTAATGATACAATGCAGACAATCTCTTCTAAGTCTGGATCTTGTCAGCCGTTGCAAAGTTAATTCTCATTCAAATAAACTGTTTGTCCAGGCTACGAACATCCTTCATGTCAGTTCAAACTGTGTAACGGCGATAAATGTAGCGTTCGTATTTTATTCACTGGGACCATCAGGAAAACTGCCCCAATATGCTCCGTGGAACCAACCTTCTGTGTCTTCACTTCTCTTACGTGTCCATTCTAGTCGTACTTCTATAGGAGATATCGTGTTGAGGGCTTAACTGCACAAGCAAAGTAGTCACCTGGCCTCAATAACAGCGAAAAATTAATCACCATAGCTTTTCCCCCCATTCCGGGCTTTATGTTCTAGTTACGAGTAGGAACCTTTTTGTGCGTCGATTGGCGGATCGAATGCAAGGATTATTATAATAATTATAGCTACAGGTGTGGATCCCTGACTGTCCAGCGCCCTGGGCTTGACTGTGCCTTTTGCAGGCGAAATGCGGCAGCCAATTGCGCACAGCAGCCTCCCAACTTGTGGTCAGAACTGCCCGTCTCCCCACAGTCACAAGAATTGTATTCCAAACGTGATCCCCGAACCCCCCCCCCCCCCCCCGAGATTCTTGCTATTCCGCTTTTGATTTGGTTTTAGTTAGTAATTCTGCACAGCGCACAGTGTGCTTTCCTTCTTCTGCAGCTTCAGGCAGTCTGGGCTCTCACGTACCAGGTTTAACCATCACCACATCAGATGGGTCCCAGACACATCTTTTCTCTGCCTATTTTGTTGCAAACCCCCCCATCCCACCTCTTTGTTCTACATCATTAACACCTCTTTAACCCATCATCCCCTGCCCTCTACCCCATTTTCTCCTTTGTCTTCCTTGCCTCCCCCCCACCTCTCCGTTAGCCCTTAAAAGTCTCTCCTTCCCAGTTCTGGCAAAGGGTCGTGGACCCGAAACGTTGACTCACTTTCCTTTCCCCATAGATGCTGCCTGACCTGCTGAGGGTTCCAAGCGACTTCTGGTTTCGTTTCAGGTATCATTAGTCGTTTGCATTCATGCGTAACACCCGTAGCTGGGGTTTCAAATGAAATGAGAATTGAACGCCTTTTAAAGTGGATTTTTAAATTGATAATTCTCTACCAATTGAGAAGAACAATTAGTAAGGATTTTCTGTCTGTCTCTCCACCCACGAGTGAGACTCGCTGCCCTCTTGCTGTGTTTTTATCGATGTGTGCCCAGATTTCTTTCTGTGCTGTACATTGATTGCTGAAAATACTGATTTATTCATCAAATCGCATTATACATGAGCAATAAATAGATTGCAATGTCTTCCTGGGACATAAACACATGGTTAAAGACTTGGATGCTTTTTTGCGAATGTATTGACTTTGCTGGTGACAGCATACCTACACCTAAACCACTAACGTACACACACAACTAATAATGATCTTTGCATAAATAAGGTAGAAGAGAAACCCTCACTTTACAGTACATTCTGTGAAGCGCTTTGAGACGTTTCGAAGATGTGATACGGCGCTATATCAAATGCAAGAATCATTATTGTCACGATTGAGAGAAGAAAAACTGGAAAAATATAAATCTGCCGTTTTTTTTTTAACAGAAAGCGTTTATGGGAAACGAAAGCCAAAGTGTGTTTCCAAACGTAGGAGAGAGCTTCAGACACGTGAAACAACACACTGGATCGCTTTGGGATTTTAGTGTAATCAATAAGGGTCAACGTGGCAGGAACATTAACACTTCTCTGATACACTCACTGTAAGAGGTTCAATCTGCGCAATAGTGTTGGCAGTTTACGGTCAGTTTGCAAATAACAGGCTTCCGCTGAAATCCAAGCCATCTGCTTTTTCATGTCATTGAGGAGTTATTTGACGAACCTTTAATTTCGCTTTTGAAAGGCTGGACGTTGTGGCGCCATTGCCGGATAATCCGAGTCTGTTACCCAGATCCTTGGAGAAGTTTTTTTTTCCCCATCCTTCCTTCAGGAAACTACAGTCTGAAAGGGAAACGCTATTTTTTTTTATTTTTTTCTAAAAAAAAAACAGGGTTTTCCGTTGCCGTGTTAGCCGTTCGCTTTTTTTTAAAAAAAAAACCAATCGCTGCATTAAACAAGGTCGCATTGTCCGATCCAGTCCAGTACCTCTGCCACATTTGCGATGGGGCGTTCTTCTACAAGACCGTCACTTTGAATCAATATTGTGAAAAGGCGAAGCAGTCGGGTTGAACTGGGGTCTGTGGGACTATCTCCCTCTTGTGGATTCATGGACAAACAGTGAGCCCACGTCCGGCTGGCGGCTGGTCGCGACGTTTCAAATGAATCGCGTTCCAGTTCCTCACATTTCAACTCCCCTTCACTGACAGCGAGTCAAAATGCACCTACAACAATGCAGAACTCTCTCGGCACTGCGCTAGTGTCGGCCTGGACTGCAAGAATGAGGACAAGAATGCTCGCATTTGATCCAGCGCCTTGTCACGTCTTCAAGACGTCTCAAAGGCTTCACGGAATATACTGTAAAGTGAATTGACTGTGTATTGTTGCGGGCGAAACTTATGAGTTTAAAGTCCTGACGTCTGGGGCTTAAACCCGCGTTCTTCTTGGACTCAGGGGTAAAGAGTGCCACTGACTGAGCCAGGCTGTCACATCAAATTAAGCGAGAAACAGATAATTCCCAGTGTCCGATTTATTTCTGCGAAAATAAGTCGTCGTTTTTCCCAATAAACATTTTCCGTTTGTCAAGCGCACTGTGAGAAAAACAGCCAAGGGAATGGACCAGGGCAACAACAGAGGAGTGGTTTTGGTGGAGACCCAGTTGCATTCGATATTAGAAAGCAATAAGAATTCCAAGCCCTCCTAAAAAGAAACTTAACCTTAATAAGAAGGTCTGCGGAACCAATCTTTCTGAAATAATCCGCCGTTGTTTGGCTCGGCAATAACTTTGAGTCCCGTTGCTTTTTACTTCAATGCGGAATGCAATTTCT